AAGATATCATGTAACGGGCGAACTAATTTCACAGCTGCGTAACATTTTTTGCTCTAAAACTGCCATAACCTGTTAGGTCATTGATCGTACAGAAACTTAGATGTTGCTAACGTGTACATTCAATTGTACAAAGTTTTGTTTTTTACTTACTATCTATGCCTCGCTGCTTCGTTCATATTTCTCACTAGCTTTTGCCCGCGACTTTGTTCGCCTGTAGATTTTCGGATTAAAAACTATCCTATGTCCTTTCTCGAGGTACAAACTATGTCTGTACCAACTTTCACACAAGTTTAGCCAGTTTTTCAATTTCAAATTGAAGGCAGATGAGAATAAGATTCAAAATACAAAACCTTGAAACCTAGACTAAAAATAAATCTTGTTTTTTAATAAAGAGGTAAGAGTCTGACACTCCGTCTTACCCGACCCAAGGCGGGTCATTTGATGATTTTTAACTCACAATAAGCGATACAGAAACATTTGCTAAATAGGTTCTATTTGCAAAATATTCAACTCTGATCACCAATGTAAATTATCTATGATCACTTCGTAATCTGTGATCACGCTACCAACCTCTTTTGTAAAAAAGTAATAACTGTTGATTGGTTTTTAATTATCTTTGCAATTCAATACACAATAAGTCATAAAACGCAAATATAAATATAGGTAATCATAATGGAAACTATGTACGAGTATAGTACTCATGAAAAAACGAAACATAATTCTTAATTACGAAATAAGAAAATTATTAAATGTAAATATAGAAACCTACAAGAAGGAACATAACAATAAAGAAAGAACATCACAAAAAAATTACTAAAATGAGGCAAAAAGTGATTCCATGATGCCCTATGAGTTAGTTTAAACTATAATATACATCTGTACGAAAATTCATTCAAACCTTCAGTAGGTAGTTCGAACGCCATAGTGAAACAAATGTCCATCCAAAGTCAAACACAGGACCATTCTCACCAAATTTAACATTTCTAAATTTTAATATTGGAAGTACTAATCTGTAAATGATTCTACGAGTAAAAAATAATAATAATATTTTGTGTTCATTGTTATAACATCAACATTGTGCAACACTTTTCGTTAAACAGTATTGCACAACTTTGTACTACACGAATTACAAATTATCACGAATTTTGATGATTAAGAATTATTATAGGTAGGTAGATTTTAATACCTATTCGTTTCCAGCAAATTTTTTTCGCGATAAACACTGACCTAGTCTTGAAATTTGATATTAGTGTTTTAAATAAAGTTTCCATTTACTAAACTTATCAGATTTCGTATTCTCAGCATTTATATGGCAGCTAATTATTTTTATTGTTATTGCAAAACTTGTGAGTATGTTATTTGATTATAACTTTACTAGGTTTTTGCCTGCGACTTCGTTCTATAAAAACTATCCTATGTCCTTTCTCGAGTTCCAAACTATGTCTGTACTAAATTTCACAGAAATCGGTTCAGTAGTTTAGGCTTGAAGGAAAGACAGACAGACAGTTACTTTCGCATTTATAATATTAATTCTTGATAATTACGCCTATGGTCTTATTGCAGACCACAATCTTGGCCTAAAGGATGATTAACACGTTTCCATTTTTTGGAACCAACAAGAGCAATAATTGTATTAAATAGTTAAATTTAAGGTTCTTTTACATTATCCCACACGTATTGTTTAGACTTACAAGCCAATAAATGCTTTAGGTAAATAATTATATGCAACATACAAAAAAAAATGTATCGTGTATATGGGTCTTTAGGTTTCAGTCTAGGTCTTAAGTTTGTAGTTGGCTTAGGCACAAAAAGAATGACAATGAAAAATGGAAAGAATACATTTAGTTAGATGTCGTAGAGGTAAATTCGCTTGCTTTCCAGGCGAAACCTGGTTAGTACCAACATGACTTTTACCGAGTTATATGTACTCTTTAAGTTTATTGAGGTACTGTCGTACGGTAAAGAAAAACGCCCTAACGAAACCTGGACGCCTTTGAAATCCACCTTGATTAAGCTTGTTGATTAATGGTCAGAGCTTCTCCGATTTAGAAGAGGCCTTTGTCCATCAGTGGTTTAATATAATAGCTTTATTTACCAATAAATTTGCGAAATACTAATTGACGCATATAGATTTATCTAAGCAGGTACTTATTCCTAGCATTAAAAAAAGTAGTTAATACTATAATGTAAAATAGAAGCATGTAGGTACGTTCTAAATAAAATTCTTTTATTTTTACAAAATAATCCAAGAAATGTTTCCGCGTAATACGCGTGACAAATTCAAAACAAACCAACGAGTCGCAGCAGTTATTTTTTATTATTAAACATTACAATAAGTATGATGAAATATCAAGAAATGTTGACGCATTGTTCATTAAGTTTATCGTTTTGAAATTAATAAAGGACGCCAACACGACAATAGTCGATAATAATAATATGAAACATCTGTGAAAGTCAAAAATTCAAAATATTCCTCATTGTTGTTTAAAGTTTAGACAATATTCAAACTACGTAAATACTTTTGTTTACATTTGTCTGTGACTATGATTTGCTTACATTTTGAAATGTTTATCTTGTATACAAGTGTAGGTATGAATAATCATTATTTTCCCAAGTAATCGTTACATACTTTCTTACAATTTTAATTCGTCATTCATTACAGTATTCATTATTGTAAATCTTGCGAAATCATTTATCTACCTGAGTATAACGTCTAATTTTAGTTTTCTTTTTTATTGAAGTAGGCAATTTCTGGTTACCTAATACTAGATTTTAAGATTTTCTTATTTTCTTGTTTTCATTTAAAATAAACCAAATGACTGACCCTTTCGAGACAAAAATCCATTTATGATATGAATTGTAGTTGCGCAATTTCATAAGTCTACGCTCCTGCATCGTCATAAGTTTACAAACAAACGTTAAAATACGTCAAATGTCATCGTCCGCCATTTTGAAATAAAACACGCGGGAAATGAGAAACATCGCCAAACTTTTTCTGTTCTATTTTTCTCTATTTTGAGCGCTCGCTTGGCACTGATTTGTTAGATGCCGGGGAAAGTTTCATCTGTGATATAAGTATTTTCGTGAAAAAATTACGGACGTAAACTAGATAAAACCTATAAATTACGAGGAAATCAGACTAATGTCTTTTTTATATCCGATCTTGACCTACAAACTGTTGAACTAGATGACTAGATCTATTTTTTAATATAAAGTTGCTACTGATATTCTCGTATTGTTTAAGAAAAATATAATATTGAGCAATGTTTCATACTGCGCGCAATATTAAATGACACACAATGATATGAGTCATTTTTTTATTTCGTGTGAAAGGCAACAAAATTGTATGCGTCATCCGATATCTCACTGCGGAAACGTGTAAATGTTGATTTAGGGAAACTTTTACAAAAATCGATTTTATCATTTTTGTGGTTTTCCGCTTTCATCAACAATGGAAATAATTATTCAGTACCTAAATCATATGATAGGTACCTTTTTTATGTGCTAAGTCTGCAAACGAGCTGTCGGATTACCTGATGGTAAGCAATCTACAACACCACAGGAGTTACGAGTGCGTTATATACCGGCCTTTTGTGGATTAGGGTTTCAGAAATTATAAGCGATTGGGGTGGGACGAGCGAGTAAAATAATATACCCTGCACAATTATTAATGTTAACATACCATCTTTATGAGGTAAACCTCCCTACAGATTTGTTGATCTTAATGTTTGCAAAGAGGCCTTAGCATGAAACTCGTAGCTAGACTTTATATGAATATATTTGTATAACCTATGTATATTGACAGAGATGAAAGAGTGAGAGGGAGATATTATCTAGCCTGCTCTTAATGTCGATTCAGTGTGACCTTTGCAAACTTTGTCAGTGTACCTAGGTCAAATAGGAGATAGGTACAACAATGTTATAGTTGAGTATTGATATCATTATATACTTGTTAACAGAGTTTTACAGAAAGGTTATATGTGCACTAATGTACAACATACACAAATTTATGTAGGTACTTATACGAAATTATTATTTTAAAGGCATAACTTACGACTAGATGAGTAGGTTCGTCTAAAATGTAAATGGAAATACTTACAATGGCACTTTATGTATGTGCTTATACTTTAGTTCATCAAATCCCAAGCGAACGCAGGCATTCGCCCACGTATTTTTCTTCTATTGTGTCTCGAACTCTCGAATTACCACGGTTGAAAGGTAAATTGCAAAAACCATATATATTTTTTAATTTAAATACAAAAAATATATACAATAAATACAAAAAATATACAATGAAACAATGAATTTATTTTTGCAAATAGGCCATAAAACGGCACTTTTACACGTCAATTTATATGTAAATGAATGCATTTCCTATCTGACTTCTCTGAGAAGAAACGTCGAAACAAACTCAAAAGTATTTTTTGTGACTACAATCGTTATAATGTACCGCAGCCCTGGTCTGGAGCAGAAAAGGCCCGGAGTGGTTTCTCCTCACCCAGGGCGGGAAAAAAACGGTTATAAAAAAGTATGAACTTTAATCATCAAATATAAGGTGTTATATTATGTCTTAAAACTGACGATAAGTGCTAAATAAATACTGATAAACTCTCTTCAGAGTTTTAAGTGCTCGTGCACTAATTCCTAATAAGCCGCCTTGACGGGGTGATACTATGGCCTCACGGAATACTGGCGTGAACCAACACTTACGTTGTGTTTCGCTGTGTAAGTGAGGATCTCGGAGGGATAATATCTAGGCCTTCCTCGATCCCCAAATCAGCTAACCTTAAATACCTACCTACCTACCCACAAAGGGGCATCCTTTCTCCGACCATAAGCAGCGTCGACAGCTCGCAACCACTTTACCAAAATTAAAAATTACTTTACCAAATACAAATACCGCATACAAACCATTTGCAAATAAATCATCTTCAACTTACACAGAACTACTTCTTCTTGTCTTCAAAAGTAAATAATAACAACAACAATTTTTCTTGCAGAGAAATTCTCATTAAAAATGGGTCAGCGGTGGACGCAGCAGTGGCAGCCATGTTCTGCAATGGCCTCCTGAACCATCAGAGCATGGGGCTTGGCGGTGGATTCTTCATGACGGTCTACCTGAAGGATGAGGAGAAGGCGTACACTGTGAACGCGCGGGAAACGGCTCCTGGAGCTGCTACCGTCGATATGTTCAATGGAAGCTGGGACAAGGCTGCGAAAGGTATGTCCCACCTAGCTAGGTTTGAATTTAACCGTCGATTTCAATCAAAATGTTTAGATTAAGGTCGATTTTTATCAATACTTTTATGGAATTTCTTCTAACTCCAATTCTTCCAGCCCTCCGTCCCTCACAATTTCTAAATTTCTGAAACCCTAATTCACAAAAGGTTGGCAACGCTGATTGTTTATCATCTGGAAATCTGTCTGCTCGTTTGCCAACTTATCAATTAAAAAAAACCTCCTAAATGACTAGTTCGGTGGGTAACCTTAAAAGATAAAGAAATGCTGTTACTAATCGTGATGATATAAAAAATTGATGATAACAAAATCGGGTAGGTTAAATGTAATAAAATATTTAATGCATCTATTAGAATTAGATAGGTACTCATTTATTGTTTTACGTAAAACTTTTATGTGTTTCCAATTGTTGGAGAAATAAGTCGTAATATTTGACGCAAAAGATTCTGACCACCCAATATATAATCCAAAATTAATATTATAAATCCGAAAGTAAGAATGACAGACGGTCTGTCTTTTCTTCACGCCTAAACTACTGAACCGATTTTTGTGAAATTTGGTATAGACATAGTTTGGAACTCGAGAAAGGACATACGATAGTTTTTATACCACAAATCTGCAGGAAGTCACTATTCCTCGCGAACGGAGTCGCGGGCACAACCTATTATCATATAAAATTCATCGAAAATTAGTAAGTATTGAATTTGACTCAATAAATAATTATCATACTTAATACGACCATAAAAGCAATTCCAAAAACAAATTATCTTTTTAAAATTTTAAATCCATTTTCTTAGAACGCTTTGGTCATACACCTTCTTGAATTAAAACAATAAACAAAAACAAATAGGTACACTATACTGAAAGTGGCTTTTTCGAATTGATAACGACTATCTTAAGATAAAACGATAATAATAATAAACAACAAAACAAAATAATCAACAATGTCTTATCACTACCTATATATACATAGCTCGTAGGTATCCTGCTATCAACTGTTATGAAACGAGGTCAGGTTTTAATCTCAATCCATAGATTATAATAAAACTTGTTTATTTAGGTAAACAATGTAAGATACTTTCCGTATAGCGGAATAAAATATGCGCAGGTTTTCGCACCGCGTCGCGTTAAATTATCATTTACATTGTAAGAGAAAAGCCATAAAATAACTTCTCTCGCCCAGGGTGATACGAAAGAGAGTGTCAGACTTTTACTGACTAAAAATCCCCTCGTTCCTTCTCCTGCGCTAGGCCCGAGACCGCGGTACCGTTTTGCACTCCAGCCACGCCACGGCTAAACATCGGCCTTGTTGGGCCCCATTTCATCATCATCAGCCTATAAGTGCCCACTGCTGAGCAAAGGCCTCTTCTCACACGGAGAAGGTTAGAGCATTGATCACCACGCTTGCTTAATGCAGGTTGGCGATTTCAAACTTATAATTAGAAATTATATGTTACGATGTTTACCTTCACCGTATGTCAGTTATGGCTAAATAATTATAGAAAGTACATATAACTCGGAAAAAGTCACATTGGTACTTGCCAGGTTTCGAACCCACACCCTCATGCATGAGAAGCGGGCTCCTTAACCTCCAGGCCACCACGACATTTTTGTCTGCCTTGTTGGGCCCCATTTATGGGGCCAAAAACTAGGTACTTTTGATATACGTGACACAATTACCGTAACCAAAAGATATATTATTATCACAGGCTGACTGATAATGAACGAGATATTTATTATTATAAAAATAGAAAAAATGTTTTAGATAGCACTTTTGACTATCTTTTGCGTTGTGGGTTACATAACAACAAACTTACCCGGAGAACCCCCTTGCTTGTCCATAATAATCAAACAAACCAATACAACAGGGCATGTTAAATGTACCATAATAATGAGGACTGATGTAGAATAATAACTGTATGATAAAAATTGTAGATTTTTTTTTTGTTAATAGATTACGAAATAATATACAAATCGAAAGATAGGTCATTGTTTCACTATTTTTTTGTCTCTGCTCTCGGTTTCCAAGTTAGGAAGAAGTTGTTTCTATTTAATTTCTAAAGTTTTTTAACCCAAATTCTATTACCACAGTACGTAAAATTCTATTTGCATTATCATTACATACAAGGACCGCAATTAATATATATTTTTAAGAATAAACTTTCAAGTTTCAGCAGTCGTTTAATTTTAGTGAGGATTAGAAAAAGTGACAGAGTAAGTAGATAGTAGTGGTTAGAAAATTTGTTATTTAACCGTCGCTCTAACTAGAACTAGACCTGATTTCTAAAACAGTGTTTATGACCGTCCCTGTCTGGCTGAATACTCAATAGACTTGTCAATTTATTTTCCACATTATATAGGTACTTATAGGTACTTTTTATGGGATAGGTCGGCAAACGAGCAGACGGATTACCTGATGGTAAGCAATCGGCGTCCATGGACACTTGCAATAACGAGGTGGAGTTTCGAGTGAGTTGTCGATTTTTTAGATTTAGATTTGTGATTTTCACACGGCGACATACAACCCTGTACTGTAGTGTGTGTTTTACGCCGGTTTTCTGTGGGGCTTATACATTTTAAATGTACCATAATATTATCATAGGACCATAGAGTATAAAATATTTCTGTGGCAGAGACTCAATTTCGAACTGCCATCGATCGCCGTACACCAAGCGAACGGCGCTGCACTAGTGTGCGTTTAACATAAAAACCCGTTCACCCACACTCGGTACGAAGGTTCTAGAACGATATTGCACACATAGATGGAAATGTGTTCTCTGTTGAATATTTACTCGTGTACCCAGTCGGATGTTCGAGAAAATTCTGGAAATATGAACGGAAAGTGCAATCGACTGGAGCTGTATGTGCGTGACTTGAGTCTTGAGTAATGTGTTATAGATTGACACGTGATTCGAGTAATAATAATTTAGGTAGAAAACATTTTTTTATTCGTCATAATAATTAGTATTTGATTATCATACCTATCATATTCATAAAAGTAGAGATTTAAGCATAGATGGCTAGTTTTGAAAGGTATTTTTATGTTGAAATAAAAATGTTTTTAATCTTAAATACTTATTTTTCGTAACATCAGAGGAGTTACGAGTGCGTTGCAGACCTTTTAGGGATTAGAGGTTTGGAGCTTTAGAACAAGGGGAAGGATTGGGCTTCCAGTAACCTCACTCAATCGGCGAAACACAACGCCTTGGTTGTTTCAAGCCGGTTTTCTGTGAGGCCGTGGTATCACTCCGGTCGAGCCGACACATTCGTGCTGAAACATGGCTCTCTCACACTACATATTCCTTTTAGCACATTATTTTAGCCCCGTTTTGGGCCTAAATTGTCAGATTCGTATGTAGAATTATTTATGTCATCGAGTACTCGCTTCTGGGGTACCTATAACTCTGAATGAATTAAAAATTAATACGGAAGCTCTAAAACAAAAACACGGGGAAATACAACATTTTGAAAAGCGGCCAAATATTGCAACCTACATTACAATAAGAACGAAACTCGCGTGTTTCGAACGAACAATGGAGTAACGATAAATAACATTGTTATGATTAATATCTATTGGAAACGCTCTAGATATCAATGTGATACACCCAAAATATCACGTACTCTAACAATTAATGAAATATTGTAATAAAACAGTTGCGTAAATAGAAATAACATGGTTTAGTTGTGAATTATGATTAATTTATGTTTCTAGAAATAGGGTTAACATAAGTGTAGTGTGTTTTTTTATTTGTGAATGGGAATCATCAAATGACTTCTATCGCCATTGGTCCACCAAGGTAGAGGGAGTGTCAGAATCTTACTGCGTTAGGTTTGGACTTCATCTGGTCGCAAGAAGTCGCCTTTTCCGTCGCCCTTTCTCTTTCTGTCGCTTAGAACTGCCATTTGCTAGACCGAGACAAAAAGCATTATGCGGACAAGATGCAATGATCGGCAGTGAGACTCCGGAACGCTGAAGCGTGCGATAGCATGCTAACGCATCCTTTCACCATCGATCACTCCGTATCGCATGCTGTCTTTTTTGTCTGCGGAATGCGATAGCGCGCGAATGCATGCGGCAGCGTACTGCAGAACTTGGTAGCACAGGCGGTCAAATGCGATTCCGTGCTGCCAGATGAGGTCCAACCCTTAGAACCACCACGTTCCTTCTTCTGCTCGATACCGCCGTAAATTATTGCGCACTTTTGAACGTCTAACAAATAAATATCAAAACGTTCAACCTTGTGCGATAGTCTGGCAATGAGTGTGCTTAGTGTAGCTATTGGCTCGATACAAATTGTAGATTCTTATGGAGAAGAACGAGCAAGAAACTCCATGATCACTATTTTAAAGAACTTAAACGAATAAGCTAAAAAGAACTTAAACGTGACACGTTAGAATCCAATTTTGGTCAACAAAACATTCTGTAAAGAATCCTCATAGTAATAAAAACCAGAATTCTAGACTTTTCTACCCTACTTTCGAGATGACTGCGGGCTGTTCCGAGGGGTCGTCGTCAGGTCGCGTCTATCGATCGGCTTAATCCAGACAGACTCTCGAATTTTAGGCAGTAATTCTAGAATTTTCCACCCCTTGTTGTTATTATTTGTTAGCCCTAGTATTTTAGCTAAGATTATATGTCTATAGAAGTGTCTTTCCTTTCTACAGCAACAAATCTCACAATAATAGTCTATAAATAAAATTTACTTTCTTTTTATTCGTATGTTATTGTGATGTTGAGATCATAACCCGATTAATGCTGAAGTTTGGCTTATTCAATACATGGCAAAAAGTAGCACTTAATTTATTCGTCGAAACTATTCATACTCAAAAGGCGTCATTGCAAAAAGATTAAAAAAAGAATAGACGTTAGTACACGCACTGATCCGCAACTACGTCAACAAAAAAGTGCAAGTCAACCTTTATTGACAAGAAACGGAAACCTCCTTGTACTAATTATTCTTTTTTTTTTTGCTAAACATTTTTTTTTATTCTATAGTTTAATAATGATGTTGTAATGAAGAATACTTCATTAAAATAAATGGTAGGTAATATAAATATGAATGTGCATATTATGTAAACTTATCTCAGATATTTTTAAATCTTTATATATATACAAATGGATCGCAAAATGTGTTGGTAAGCGCATAGCTCAACAACGCCTGCACCAATTTTACAAATTCTTTTTTTGTTGTGTTTGTTATTGTCAGGAGAAGGTTCTTATCAAGAAAATATTGGAAAAGAAGAGGGGAAGATTAGGAAAAAGTGACCCTTTGATAGTTGGACCCGTGCGAAGCAGGGGCGGGCCGCTAGCTTAGAATAAAAATTGCTAACGTGTTTTGTTAGTAACTTCAAGACTATTATGTACATAAAGGCTTTTGCTTCCGCATTATTTATCTAACCATCTGTAACTACATAAAGGCAAAAAATTAATTCAACCGTCGATTAAACAAAACTGACAGAAAAATATATCGACAAAAAACAGTCAAATTCATCAGTGCGTACAAAAAGCAGTACAGAGATTGTTTCAAATATTTTTTGATAACAATTTCATGTGATATGTAAGTCATCGCGAATTTCTCTAAGAGAGGCTTTCTCTTCGAATGTCGTCCAATCAAGACGGCTCTTAAGTTGTGCAGGCGCCGGTTCGTAGGACTTAGTTTCACTCGTTTCATTGTACAAAGCCCCGTACTGGCCTTTCCAATTCATTAAGCTTTTATTTAACTAATTAGATGGGTAACTAGTATGCCGCGTGGTTTTGCCCGCGTAGAAATTATAAAAGTTCTGTCAAGTACCTACCGATTCGATAAGAAAGCAAAAAAAATGGAGAAGACTAAAAACTTATTCATAAAACCTGCATAGTGAATTGTTATTATTATAATTTTCTAATTATTTGATTGTCACTGACATAGGTACCTAAAAAAATATTTTATGTCAATATGGCGGGTCATAGTTGTGTACAATCTTTGAAACACGCAACACCTATTTTCTTACCTATGTACCACTATAAAGAATATTGTATTGTATATTTTTTACTTCTATTGGCTGAGCATCTGAGTGCTGCATTAAAATAAAATTAAAAAAATTCTCTGTCAATAGCCCTCTATTCCATTCATTAAAGTATGCTGAGACCTATATTGTGGATAGCGGTATCGACGAGGTCTCCGCCAAGTAATAGCAACTTAATACATTACCCACCTTGGAGCCCCGTTACCTAGCCTGTTTTCATCCTACACAGATAATCTAGGAACTATGCGGCTGACGATTTACGCCTATACGAAACAATATAGTTTTATTTAAAAAAGTTTGTTCTTTTTTAAATATAAAATTCTAATTAAGAATACGACCTGCGACCATAAAATATAAATACAATCTTTAAAATATATTTTATTCAGTTGAAAAATAATAACACTAATATACGATTTTAATAAAAGATGTTCCAAATTTAAAAAATGACATAATTAGAATCTAAATACAAATTCTTAATGCGATCCATTCGCGTACTTTCGTTCGTAAGATACATAATATAGAGATGTAAAATATGTTATTACCAAATCAGTAACTCTAATACTACTTTATATTATTATAGGTAATCTGTTTAAATTATGATAATGAAATAACTATAATGGTACAGTTTAAATCTTGTATCAACAAATGTTGACATCTATTTTTAGATTGAAATATTAAATAAACCAAACTTACAAAATGTATATTTTCTATTATGTCCCTTCTGAAGAAAAATATTTAACTTAGCTCCCTATGTGTATATATATAACGTGTGGAAATACTATTTGTCCGGTCTACGGAGAGACGACAACCAACCCCATTTATGGGGCACTGGCTACTAGGATAAACGCACTAACCAACGACCCTACTATTATATGACCGGGAGTCTCCTAAGCGGGTCCATCTTCTCTTGGTCCCACTATGCAGTTTCCTTCTCAAGTTAACTTTGCAGGAAAATTACCACCTTGTTCCATACAAGTGATATCCATTGACTTTTTTAAGTACGTATACGTGTACACACCACACCGGACCCGAAACAATCCGAACAACAATTTTGTGGGTCACACAAAATTATACCGCTCGTAAAAAACACTATGGGAGATCCATACAAGTCTGGGAGGCCTCTCCCGAAGTACCTATGACTGTGCTTCGGCACAAATGAGTCGACTTGACCGGAGTGATACCACAGAAAATCAGCGTGAAACATTCATAGCGTTGTGCTTCATGTGAGTAAAGTTGCCAGAGACCCAATCCTTCCCCTCCCCCACCCCTCTCGTAACTCCGTAACGTTACGTAACGCACTCGAAACTCTTCCGTTCTTGGTGTCCATAAGCGGTGCTGATTGCTTACCATCAGGTAATCCGTCTGCTCCTTTACTGTCCTATCATATTAGAAAAGTAACCAGATATCCAGCCCAATATAGAAAATGATATCGAACGAATAAATGCCTTGTACTTCAAAACGTGTGTAGATGTTTATTTTGGCTTAACTTCAGCAACTTGGTCCTCAGGTCCATTATCCATTGGCGTGCCAGGCGAACTTCGTGGTATGTGGGCGGCCCACAAACGATGGGGCAAGTTACCCTGGGAGACCCTGGTGGCACCAAGCTTGGATCTGTGCAGAAATGGTTTTGCTATGTCCAAGGTCATGTATGATGGACTGGAAAGCGCTCCTTACATCAAGAATGACCCCCATCTCAGGTAAGTTCACTCATAGATGAGACATTATTCTATTTTGTTTCTTTATATTGGATGAAATATACACTGGCCAGACACGCATCGTGGGTAATACAGTGATTGTATGAGTCAAAGTCTCCAAAAGACGTCCAAAGCAAGAAAACAAATTAATATGAAAAGAAAGGCATTAATAGGCACCAAGAAGGGCCCTAATGCGGTTCAGTTCTACTTCGAGGATAAGGTGTTCTCTTACGTTCGGTGGTGTTTAGACTACATTTGTTTTCAAAATATCATCAACACCTCTAAAGTTTATTTGAGAGTACAGACAAAGGACAATATTAAAAAGAACGCCCAATCCGTTATGAGCAAAAAATATAAAAATTAAGAGTCTGGTGAATGCACACCATGACATGTACCTACCTATAGTAGAGCTCCTACGATTATTGAAAACATCAAATGAACGTATTCTCAGTTTAAACACTATGTCTTTGTATTTTATCGACAACTTCCTTAAGCTATAAATATAAAATACTTCCTCTACAGACTACGCAGAGCTGATGTTAATTTATTGGCACACATGTCTTTTAATATCACATTCCTTGAGTTTATTGCTTTATTATACAGACTAGCTCTCGTGCTGCGGATTTACCTACCTGCTTAACTTTTATAAAGGTTTAATTTGACAAACTTGTAAATTTTTTTACGATCTTCATGTTTTGCTAATGATCATTGCCACAATTAGCCTGTAGATCGCAATGAGATAACGTAGCCTCGGCGTAGAGCAGGAGGAGGAACGGTTTAGTCAATAAGAGTCTGACACTCCCTCTCCCCTTTCCCTGGATGATAGATATATCTTTTCTTTTTTTTTTTCTTTAAAAAAAAGACGTTGCGTTGCATGCGACAATGCGTTACGAACATACAATTCCACATACACATCACACCCAGACCCGGAACAACTATTTGTGGATCACACAAAGAGTTGTTCCGTTCGGGAATGGAACCCGCAACACGTTGCGCCGTAGCTAGTTTCCCAGCCACCACGCCAACCGTACAGTCAAATATCCTCAAAAAACGTTTAATAATTTTCATAAAAAACCTGTAGATAGGTCATTTGAAAAGTATTGAACATCAACTGGGACGAGAACTGATTAGTGATTAATCTTTCGCGCTTAATATCCAGGCAAGGCTAGGTTCTTGGGACAATCATCACATTATATTCCTATATGTGCTGAGTAAAGGCCCCTTCACACACGAAGAAGGTTTGGCATCTGTTGCCACGCTCCATCAAGGTAGATTAGCAATTTTAAACTTATAACTAGACATGTAGCTGTCTAGGTCTCCTTTTGTCCTCAACCGTATGTCAACGGTGTCTAAATATCTTAGAAAGTACATTTGACACAGAAAAAATCACATTGGTACTTGCCAGGTTAGGGTTATCATAAGCACAAGAAGCCACCAATACATCTCTTTAATACTAGCCACTATAAAACTTGCCTAAAATCTAAATCGACATAATTCAAAACAAAGTAGGTTGACATTAAAAACAAACAATAAATAAAACATTGTGTAATCTAATGCTTAATGGATTTATTGTCTGTCGCAGCTAATTATTTGTCAATTAATTATGATAGCTGACAGCAACTAAACATAGGAGAAACGGATTAGTTGCTAAATCATTTGCTTTTTTTTGTTTTGTTTTGTTTTACCTATCTTTCATAATTACCTAGGTATCTTATTATGAAAATAAATTAAAGGACAGTAGTATTTGTTTATAACAACTTTTTAAATATTTTTTTTTTCTTTTTGATGGAGGGGTCGTCGTCATCATATGACTTTTCCTGCCCTGCGTTGGCCCAGATTGACCTCTCTTCTCTTGTTCTGGGCCGGAGCTTCCACCCACAACCTATATGGATTTTACACCTTAATATATCTGGCAACTGGCTCATTCAAAACTTCAGAATCGTTTCTCATGAATCAGGATTCACGCATGGAAACCACTTAATAAAAAGTTCAATACTTGTTTTTTTTTAATCTTAATACGAACATGCAGACGCATTAGAAGACACTGTTTTTTTAAACATTAACGGGTTATATATTTATTTTATTTAAACATATCACTTAGCTTAAACGCTAAATATTTATGCTCTGGTATTAAAGTATGATTGCTTATTGTACTTTCACGTTACAATTTTGAGGATAAAAAAAACGTGAAGACGCATGTGGCCCAAATAGCACAAACATAGAAAATGACCAAGAAACATCAGTAAAAAAAATTTAATCAACTCCATAATCACACAATGACAGAATGCCTTCCTTTACCCATTTAGAATCTTCTCAAGGAAGTTTGACAATTTCCTTATTTTTTATACAAATAAGATGGGTTTATTTATGTCGTGAACTATATTATATATTTATATTAAATCCTCATACAGAAAACCTCATATTTTTTCTTGCATCAATACTTAACAACAGAGATTGCTGGTCGTTTATTGACAAACGGTCTTAGTGGCGTAGTCTTTGTTAACGATAACTATGTTTTTATATTACATAATAGATTTAATACGAAGACCTACAAAATGAACAGCCTTTTTAATCGAAGGATTGTAGTCACACTAACCATTGACCATGGCTATGAAAATAATCGTGTTAACATTTCATTTGGATTATCGGCTTTTTTATGAGATTGGTCGGCTAGTGACGAATCACCTGATGAAGCAATCGGCATCGCCCATGGACACTCGTAATACCAAAAGAAGTCATATCTGGCCTTTTGTAGGTTGTTAGAGATGAAAGGATAGGAGCATTTGAGATTGAAGGTTGCAGGGAAGGATTGTGCCTCTGATAGCCTCACTCACAGGGCGAAACAAACGTTAGCGTTGTTTCACGCTGGTTTTTCCACGAGACAGTGGTATCACTCCGGTCGAGCCAACCCCTTCGTGCAGACATGGGTCTCACACAAATGGCTTCTGTAAAATTGAGTTGTTTGATATCTTGATAAGCAATTCATAACTTTGCCTAGTATATAATATAGTATAAAGTATTAAGACTTCTTATTTTTGGTAGTAAAGGTTTATAAGAATAACGTAGACATCAATCTTATCTCACTTCTTACTAATATTACGGTGTTTGGATGTTTGTTACTCAATCACGCCAAAACGGCTGGTCGGACCTAGATGAAATTTGGCACAGGCATAGGATACACTATCCACAATCCCGAATAGGACATAGGCTACTATTTATCAACATACCACGCGGGCGAGGGCGCGGGCGAAAGCTAGTGTCTCTAAGAGGATTTAACATAAAAAGGACCTGAATTCTTCCTGTAACGTAAGGCATGGTTCCTTTAATTTTTAAAGTACTTATTTCTCTTCAGGAAAATGTACTTCAACACGGCCAAAGGACAGTTCCACAAGCCTGGCACGATGGTGAAGCCCAGTGAAGCTCTGTGCAACACTTACCAGAGGATAGCTGAGAACGGGGGCGATGACCTCTACAATGGAACCTTGGCAGCTGACTTCCTTGATGATCTAGAGAGAGTCGGCAGCATCATCACAGCTGAAGATCTGAGGCAATATGAGTAAGTAAACATTTTATTTGTTAATAACTTTACTCGCGCTGTTACGCTCTCGACTCTTACAGATCGTAGCGTGATGTTTTATAGTCTATATATTTATGCCTTCCTTGGTAAATGGACTAACATACACAAAGCGTTCTATTCGGACCAGTAGTTCCGGAGATCAAACAAATAAACACTACAATTTTGTAATAGGTATTAGGTAGTATAAATATAATTTTGTTTTCAAAATTTACTTTTAGAAATGTTGTTGTTCTTAACGTGTACCTAAGCGTATAAGGGTAACTTAGGCATAGATACCTAAGTCTGAACCATTGAAATCTATTAATTTTCATCGTGGAAAAAATATAGGTCCATCTAAAGGAGTATGCACGACAAAGGATTAAAATTTTATTAAAGGTCCCATCATTTGTTCTTTTTTTTAAAACTTGTCTCTGCGTTGTCCTCACATAAGGGTACAATAATGTATACTATAAATGTCATATTAGTGAAATTGAAAATATTTTTTTAAAAGTAACGTATGTAATTTGTTCTCCATTCGAATCTACAATTTGGAATGAGCACCTAGCTTCACTGACGAACAGACTGACTGACTACTTCTCTATTTTGACGTTTCAAAAGTATATATTTATGGTTTAGTTGGATTTTGACTTTGACTTTGTCTTACTGTAAAATTGTAGACGGACTCACAAACTGCTAATAAACGACACAGTGGCGCCCTCTAGCTCTAAGAATTATCCTCACTCATGTAAATATTTCATATTTAGAACTAATGTGATAAGTACGTGACTCGTAGGTTCCTACATAATGAACAATGCATCCATTAGGTTATTGTATGTAAATAAATGTAGGAAGGAACAGTTTGGTAATCGTTCAATGAATTATCTTAATTTTTACTTAAATCGATTGAATAAATTGCCTATTTTGGTAGGCATTTTTTTATATTCTTATATTCTTAACCAGTAGGTTAAGGTTACATTAATGTATTTAATGTTTAAAGTCCTTTGTGTTATTTCTTAATAAACACATGTTTTGACAATACGGTAGTGTCCTACTACTTAGTCAAATTCAATACTGTTATTGAAATGTCAAAAATGATACTTTTCTATTAGTTAATTTTGTACGAAATTGCAACATGGTATTACAATGTTTTACGTCAAATGGTATATTTATTTCTAAAATAGAAATAAAAATAAATCTAAAATCAGGTAGATATATTATTAAATCAATAAATAAAAGTAAATGCAAATAGCTTATTTTTTTAACAACTCAATTTTATGTTCAGTTTAACCTCTCAACCGAGTACTTATTTTGTTTAAAAATACTTAAAAATTACATAATATAAGATTGTTACGACTATAATTAGGTATTTCTTATGGTGTTCCCGAAATATAACAAAAAAAATGTGTTGTGGTTTTTACAAAATGGCTGCCTAGTTAAATAAAACCTTCTTTGATTGCACAAACAAAGTAAGGAGCGATACAAAATACGATGTACATACTTAGTAACTATCGCCAATAAAGGCAAGTCCTCTGCGACTCTTGGGTCATTTGGTCAACCGGTACATGTATACCTATGCATATATACCTTCGTGTATATACATTCATACCTATTACTTCTGTTGCACTTTTATGTACATATGTAGTCGCTGTAGGTCAAATCCTTGCATCTTTCCGTCATTCCGTCCTTTTTGCTTTTATACTAGCGGCCCGACCCCGCTTCGCACGTGCCCAACTGTCCCTAAGAAAGAAAGGGTCGCTTTCCCTAATTTTCCCCTTTACTTTTCTAATGTATCCTTTGATAATGACCTTCTCCTGACAATAATAAATAAAACAAAAAAGGATTGGCCAAATTCATCCAGGCGTCGTTGTTGCGTTATGCGCTTACCAATACATTTTGAGATTCATTTTTATAATCATATCGTATGCTTAATAGAAAAGAGGCCTAACTAAGAAAGAAGGTATTTCAATCTTGTAAATTATATTTAAATAATAAGGCTCAATTTTGCAATACCCTCCTTTTGAGTTATTTCTGTTTTCAATGAAACAGGGTAACAGACATATAAACATATAAATATAGTGGAATCAGCTAATGAAAAAATACACTATTGGAAAAATTGCAGAACTAGTGATATGTTTATAGTTAACTATTAATTTCGATAAAGGTATTTTATCTTACGTAATGTCAAATTCCTCGTCGGTGGGTAAGTGTAATCAGAATCAATTTTCAACGGCCACCATATCACATGACACGGTACAAGGTCACGAATTGTACCTACTGAGAAATTATGAAGAAATGTATAGAATAATCTAGAAACATTCTAATAGTCCTTATTCGTGCTAAAATTTTCGTGAGACATATTAAATAAGTTATTATGTTTATTTTTTTGTGAGGGGAAATTCATCAAATGACTTCTCCCGCCCAGGGTTGGGTGGGAGGGAGTGTCAGACTCTTGCTGACTAAAACTCCTCCCGTTCCTTCACCTGCTCTGGGCCAAGGAAGCGGTGCCTCATTGCGCTTACCCCGCACTCCCGGCTGAACGTCAGCCCTATAGGGCCCCGTCTTTGGTGGTCTATTGGCTCTTTGAGGCGCGGGCAGTAACTATAATAATAATAATAATAGGCTTGAGTGGAGATTCGCTGGCTTGAGTGGAGATTCGCAAGAGTAGGAGTTGAAGGAGACTCGGGGGAAGGATGTATCTCAGTAAGATGCTGGTAGGGGTCTTGACCGTACTTCCGGGATTGCTCTGATAGCCGTGGGATGCCTCTCCTTCCCCAAGCAGCTCAACCTATGTTGCCCCCGTGTCGCTACATGCTAGCGGCCGTTTCCGGGGGCCCATAAATTGAGTTTGCCAGTCACCCCCTGCCTGTTTATCCGTATGTATCAATATTGGTCAGGGGCAGGGGCCATAGTATTTCCATAGTTTTCATCCACTAGTCCATAGCAACCCATACCCATAACCTTATAAATTTTTACCACATTTCGCAATAGTCCTCCATCAACCGAGGATTGTCCTTGGGTGCACTTTCATAGTGCATACAGGGATAACTGCCGGCTGATGTCCCATTTCACTTATATTAAAGTTGTTCAAAGGGCCTCTGCGAGTTGGCTTCGGCCCCTCGTACGCCTTCCAAAAGTCCGGGACCCTGTGGTCCCGTGAGTGGAAAGGAACATACAAAATAATAATAATAATAATGTTTATTTGTTATAAAAAGGTAGATTACAAAATGTATAATATCTTAAGTCTAAGGCAAAGTACAATGTTTAACATCAACCTGAACTAGGTGCAAACCTGTGTTTCAGGTAAAAAAGCAGGGCAGAATGCTGCTTTTGGAAATCGGTTAAAAATATAAAAAATGTTTCCTCACTAGAAATGTGTTCTGTGTGCTAGGGCATAGATACAGTGTTCAATAGTATGTTTAGATGTGGTACCTGTTGCGTTAACTAATCTAGTTTAAATGATTGGTTATCAATGTTACTATGATAAAAATCTCTCATATCTCTATCTCATATATATATCTCGATATTATTATTCTAACGTGATCTTTAATAACAGCCTGTTATTATTTCAGTTCAATGACACAACATTTTGACTAATCATAAGTAATCTATAAGTAATTCCTGCACCTATTCAAATAATACAAAACAGTGGTTCTATCAACAAGAAACTAATAAGTGCGCAGTTACAGAAATACCTCAGTCATTGAGAACAAAAACAATAGAGCATAATGATATTTTCTAATCCATAAACTTGCAAATATTTTTCTTACAACTACAAGAAAGGCGTGTTTTCTAAGCAGTTTTGAAAGCCCGAGGCATTCCGTTTTCCTCTTGTATTTCAATAAGGAAATTAATTAACATTTTCCGTTGTTATTTGAAGGTAACAAAGAGAATAAGTTTAACAAGAACGATAATAGTTTGACTTGAAGGATCGTTTTCGACAGTGGCGCCCTCTGACTTGCGCAAAAATGCTATCAGTCACTCACAGTGTTTTTTGCCATAATAATTGGTTACCTAAGTAAGTATAAAGTATTAAAATTCAATACTCTGATATATTTTCTCTAAAGAACGTACTTAGGTACCTCCACTAGGCAAGTGAACTTTTAAACTTTTGTTCGGCACCAAATACAATATAATACTAGGTATAGACTTCATGGGGTTGCGGGGTAAGCGCAATGAGGCACCGCGACCTCGGCCCAGAGCAGGAGAAGGAACAGGGGGGTTTTTAGTCAGTAAGAGTCTGACACTCCCTCTCGCCCGGCCCTGGGCGGGAGAAGTCATTTGATGATTTTCCCCTCACAAAAAAAAAGACAATAAAAATCTAACAGTAATTTTTTTTACATTTATTTACAAACACAGGCAATTAAACCAAAACCTCTATTTTGGAAAGAATAATTATAAGAATAACATATCGATGTCAAGTCCTCTAAAAGGTGAACTAGTACATTATTTAACCTATATATACCTTGTGTTTAATCGCAGTACCTACAATACACATTCACAAAGGTGGCACGCATTAACTTGTTTTTAAAACTTTTCGTCGTATTGCATCATTGTTGACATTTAAACAGGTGTTATGTAATATTGTAACCTAAGACATAAATGAACGATATTTTCTTAATATTATTTTGATAAAGGAGAAAAAACGAACTCGTTTATAGTTTATAATACCGGCCTCTTTTAAGAGTACTTTTTTCAGCAAGAAATGTAATTATTAGCCCTGCACTAAAGGTCAATTTATAAGAGCATGGTTTCGAAGCGCATATAGCAAAAATCCATTGAAATTGCGCTCATTATCATTGGTTATAGAACATTCGCACTGGGTGGCTTTTTTCACCATAAGTGGAGTGTGAGGGAGGGTGATAATTTTACTGAAAAAAAAAACACCCCGTTGCTTTTTCTGCTAAAGACCATAGACATAGGCTGACATCCGCAACCCTGGGTCGGGTACCAAGCTTCCCTTTTTTATGTTATAGTTCGGCAAACGAGCAGACGGATAACCTGATGGTAAGCAATCAGCGCCGCCCATGGACATCCGCAACGAAGGAGTTACGAGTGCGTTGCCAACCTTTTAGGGATTAGGGTTTTGGAGATTTAGAGATTGGGGAGGGATCGAGGGAGGGGGTGGATTGGGCCTCCGGTAACCTCAATCACACGGTGAAACACAACGCTGTTGTTTGTTGTTTTGGTTGTTTCACACAGGTTTTCTCTGAGGCCGTGGTATCACTCCGGTCGAGCCGATCCATTCGTGCGGAAGCACGGCTCTCCCACACTTGTATATAAGTTTTATCTTTGCTCGCTAAATTCATATTAGCTGTTTCTCCGGGAAAACGAATTAAAAATATATATAGACATGAAAAATTTTATTATTCAAGAGCTTACATCCTAAACTCATCTTAAATTATAATTATTATTTGCTGTCTATACCTTTTTTATAATAACTTGTTTTGTTAATGTATGTGACTTGTTGTACTAACTACCTATGTGGTTAAAATGCGTACCTAACTGAGGCCACGGTGCTTGTGACGAATAGTTGAAATTCGTTTCGGATTCCATAGACGATAAAATGAGAAATACCTAGGCCAACTTATGAATACCTGCCTTCTATACTGTTGAGAATTTTTCACATCACCCTGTGACTGTTTAACATTAAGGTAACAACTACTGCACCTGATTAAACAACACATGACTCATGAAGATTATATTAATAATACTATCTAAGTATACCTAGAATAATAACTGATTTCTTGGAAAACCATTGTACTTACCTTTTTTGTCAGGGGAAAATCATCAAATGACTTCTATCGCTCAGGGTAAGGCGAGAGAGATTGTGTCAGACTGACTAAATACCGTTACTTATCCTGATTTAGTGCAATGAGGCGCCGCTGCCTCGGCCTAGAGCAGGACAAGTAATTTGACGATTTGCCCCTAACAAAAAAAATCTACCTATTTACAGTACGAATGGGTAGGTGGTGGCATATTGAAAAATGTAGGTAATTCAACCTTTATTATTTTAGACGTGGATCCATGTTTGACACAATATACTTTCTATTGTATCCTATATAAAGAGGTAAAATTCTTTCACTGATAGATAGCTACACTGTTCCCGAGTGCTATAGGTTATAAAACATTACGCTACGATTAAATGGAGCCAAGCAGCGGGTGAAACCGCGCGAGAATAGCTAGTATTGAAATATATATCAGATTGCTATCAGCTACCTAATAGATAGATTTGTGACAAATGTGTAATCTTTAAGGCCTTTATGACACCCGCGAGAATATTAAGGATGGAGAAAAATACCTTTTTCATTTACTACACAGATACTTTTTACATTACGATACCTTTAATTTGTAATCATGCTTTCGATTCTTTTATCAAAATACCCCCAAATACTAAATGATAATATTAGTTAACAAAGAAAACGCATGCTCACCTTCGTGCAGCGAAATATATGAAGACAGACCACAAATAGATGCAAGCAAGCCGGAAATTTCTCAGCAGAGTTGGCTACAAGCGACGGAATGCAATTTAGATTATGACACTCAATTATTGTTATTATGTTTTCAACGTGTTGCTATCTGAGGATACAATTATTGTAACACGATGCGCTAAATTATAACGTGTCAATGAACTTATAATACGCGAACCCAGCCTAGCTTTAAGTGATTATATCTAGACAGAACAGACTCTTAAATCGATACTTTCTGTATTACAAAAGCATCGATATATTATAATCGATTTGAACATCGATTAAAATACATCAATGTATTTTACTCGTTTGATATCTTTCTTCGTATAATAACTTGCTCACAAAACTTCTTCACGAGGAACTCGACTGGTTTCAAGCCAAATTAGGGGTTCATGAGCATTGCGCGACACACGATAATTATCATCATCATCATCATAATTAGTCATCGCTCCTCATCAATAGTCAAGTTAGCCATTAAACATAATAATTTGTTAAGTATGTCTAATCAAAATTACCAAATGAAAAAAAGGCCAAATTGAATCAAATACATAGGCAATTATTTGGACCTATAAGACAAAACAAAAAATATATGTATGAATTCTATAAGACAAAAACTAACCTTAAGGAATTTGGGATCAAAAATCAATGTAATATTATTTATAATTCATATTATCTTCAACCACTATATACGGTACACATCATTTACGATTCTTTGATTTATCCCCAACAACATTCTTCAAATGATTTCTTCTTTAATTCCTGTTTAAACACACAACTGATGAGGAGAATAAAATTTTCTCATTTTGCTTATAGAAGCAGTAAACCCGATATTCCAGAAGACAAAGGATATAGAGAATGATACAATTTAATATGTTTAAGTTAAAAAATTGGGTGTCTACTAATTATACTACCACTACATTTGAAACAATACTATGTTAAAAAATGTTTTAACAATTCCTTTTCATTTTCAGAGCGAAAATCACGGAACCTATAGCAGTTCCTCTAAGCAATGGAGACACCTTCTACTCCCCACCCCCTCCTAGCAGTGGGGCTATCCTGGTAAACATACTGAACATTCTCAGCGGCTACAACTTCACAGCTTCCAGTATAAACACTACGGAAGACAAGATCCTCACCTACCATAGAATCATAGAAGCATTCAAGTACGCTTACGCGACCAGAACGAAGCTAGGAGATAGCGACTTTTTGGATTTAAGTGAGGTAAGCTATCTTTAACATGGATTAAGGACTAAAATCGTAAGACAGCCATGCTTCAACACGAATAGGCCATTTCAATGAGAGCTATACCACTGCTTCACACGGCGAATAATAACGCAAGCATTAAGGTGCGTAATCTACGGTTTACGAGATGCAAAAATGATACTTATCGTAATCAACTAAATTTTATTTTCATCAATACGGTAGTTTCCAACTAGTCAAATTCAATACTTTTATCCAAACGTCAAAAACGATACTTTTCTTTGAAATTTGTATGAAAAACTGAGCTATGACGTCATAACTGTTTTGCGTCAAATAGCATAATTAGCTAAAAAAATCTAAAACTTAGTGTATCGATCGATCGATGAATAGAAGTATAGTTATTTTTCATTATTTTATAGTATTGAAACATCGCATTAATTTATTTTTGACCTAGGAAACTACCTACTCAATTGTTTACGGTCGTAAGTTATACTACTTCTTCTTCTACACCACGCTTGGGTAAAGTTTCTTAAACGAATGAGGACTCATTGCAGCAAACTTTTTTAGGGGATAGCAATCGGCGCCGCCCATGGACACTCATAATTCCAAAGAAGTTACTACCAGTACTTTGCCGACCTTTTGTAGATTAAGGATGAGGGTATAGGAAAGACATAGGGGGAAGAATAGGAAGGGATACTAAAGGTAACCATTTAAATACAAAACTACAACTTTGAGTTCGCACTTTAAATAAATTAAAGACGTTAATATCTTATTGCGATCATCAGCCTATAAATGCCCACTGGTTTGAGCATTAATCACCACGCTTTGTAAAGGCGGATTGGTGATTTCAAACTTATAATTAGAAATTATAAGTCCAGGTTTCCTCACGATGTTTTAAACATTTAAAAACTAATAATACATAAACGACAGAAACAAAAAATCGTAACAAAAATCGATGAACAAGAAGCAAACACATTCTCAATTCTAAAGTTTTTAAATACTTAAATAAAATACATCTATACATATTTACAATTAGCTACTGACTAGACTAGATGCGGAAATGACGCGTAATTTATAATCAGTTCGACGTAATAATAAAACTGAACGGAATAGTCTCAACATTTTAATAATAACGCCTTTATGTATTAATACAAATATAAAATAATAATTTCGTGATATAACTTAACTTTGACCTTTTTGGCTTAAGATTATTATCTATTATACACGAACGACGTAGATTCATCTGTGTGCCTAGTTTGAATTTACATTGTTAGAACACATTGTGAGAATATACTTAACGCACTCGTAACTCCATTAGTATTGATAATCCTCCTTTTGTGAAGCAGTCATGCTCGCAAAGAGAGAGGCGGCCCGCGTGAGGGAGCAATCCTCCTCCTCACGCCCCAGCAGCCGCAACTGGCGACACTACGGGCGTCGGGGATCGAGGGACGATCTCCGGCCACCGTAAGCACGGGCCTGCGGTCGGCGAGTAAGGGCAGCTCACCGCCCGACCAGAACCAGGCCCGAGCGTACGGCGCGTAGCGTTCCGCGCGCGCCTCAAAGAGCCATTCGACCACCACAGACGGGGCCCTAAAGGGCTGATGTTCAGCCGGGGTTGCGGGGTAAGCGCAATGAGGTACCGCGACCTCGGCACAGAGCAGGAGAAGGAACAGAAGGGTTTTTAGTCAGTAAGAGTCTGACACTCCCTCCTGCCCGGCCCTGGGCGGGAGAAGTCATTTGATGATTTTCCCCTCACAAAAAAAAAATTAGTATTGATAATCGTGATAATCGTATTTTTTTGCCTACACTTCAACAAAAATATCTATGTGCCTAACGTAGGTACATATTTTTATTGTATTTTTATGGTTAGTAAACGAGAAAACGGACGGATGGTAAGCAATCGGCGCCGCCCATGGGCACCTGCAACACCAAAGGTGCTACAAGTGCAAGTGCGTTGCCGGTCTTTTGGGGATAAGGGTTTCGGATTTTTATGAATTGCGAAGGGTTGGGCCTCCGGTAACGTCATTCACACAGTGAAACACTACACTGTAGTTGTTTTACGCCGGTTTTCTGTGAGGTCGTGGTATCACTCCGGTTGAGGCTACCCATTCGTGCCAAGGCTTGGCTCTTCCACGCTTACAATTTAAATCTGATTTTTTATTTTCTTAGCTTATACGAAACGTGACAACTCCGGAATACGGCACGGAGATCCGGCTTCGCATCAACGACACGGCGACCAGCAACGACACTGCCACCTATGGAGCAGACACGTACAACCAGCCCGATGCTGGAACCGCCCATATATCCATCATTGCAGGAAATGGCGATGCCGTGTCAGTCACCAGTTCTATCAACTTTTAGTAAGTACCCTTTTTTCATTGATTTATTTAGATACTATAGCTTCCGCCCTCGGCTTTACCCGCATGGCGGATAAAAAGCCTATGTGCTAATATACCCTACCTATCTATCTCCAAATTTCAACCAAATCGGTCCATCCGTTTATGCTTGAAAGAATAACAAACATACCTACATTCATACATTCTCCCAAACTTTCACATTTATGATATTAGTAGATATGATAGGTCGATGGACACAAGTCCAATATTGTTTATCTGGACTTATAGTACGACCAACTCTAAAACAACTTAGCAAGAAAATTCCAAAACAAAACACTTCATAGTCTAACAGTTTCTAAATAAACCTATGAAAGTTTTAGCCATCAAATTGTCTTGTGCTTTAAGTCTCATCTATGTAACTAATCAATCAGCATTCGGGATTCCAAGGCTTTGTATTTCAAATTTTAGTGCATTCCGTAAAGTTTCCTTCATGATCAGGAAATATGCTAGACAGCCCACTGTTAAATCTTAATCTGAGGACGCCTATCAAGGAGGACAGGCGTCCTCAGATTAAGATTAAACAGTTATTATATAATATTACAGATTACTTAGGACACCTTGCCAAATGCTTCGCTGCTGCCCTCATAAAATGTCTCTGTCAAACTGAGAAGTCCCTATTAGTTAGGTCTTACGACCAATGTGGAAAAGAATGAAGGCGAAAATTCAAGTACACCATTATCACTGCTTTCCCCGACATAAATACTCTTTATTCTTACAGCTACGGTGCCGGTTTCTCGACCCTCAAAACCGGTATAGTAATGAACAACGTGATGGACGACTTCTCATCTCCTGGTATCACGAACTACTTCGGTCTGAAGCCCTCCCCAGCGAATTTCATCGCTCCTCACAAACGGCCTATGTCCTCAATGAGTCCTAGTATAATTGTGGATAGAAATGGCAATGCGAAATTAGTGATCGGTGCTTCTGGAGGCACTAAAATTACTACAGCTGTGGCTTTGGTAAGTTTTGACAATGGAATAATATTTCAATTATCATACACAACACGGAAAACGGTGAAGGAAAACATCGTGAGTAAACCTGGACTCATCCTAATTATAAGTTTGAAATCGCCAATCCGCCTTGAGCAAGCGTGGTGATTAATGCTTAAACTTTCTCCGTGTGACAAAGAGGCTTTTGCTCAGCAGTTAGCTCTGATAGGCTGATTATGATTAACTCAGATGTTGTCATCAAATCTTAGCCCGGGGTCGCCGGTCAAGCTCAATATGGTACCGCGGCCCCGGCCTAGAGCACGAGAAGGAATGGCGGCGTTTTATTCAGTAAGAGGCTAATACTCGCCATACCCTGGACCCTGAGCGAGAGAAGTAATTTGATGATTTTCCCTCCACAAAAAAAGATATACTTATTCACTGCTCAGCAAAAACTAGTTCCCACATAGTCCGCTTAGCCGAAAGAACCTGCATTTGTAAAATACCAGTTGCGGAACTTACACGTTGTCCAGGTTAGGTAGGTTTCTTCAACTCTTACTCAACTGCACCGGGGTCTTCAAAGGCCAACGTAGTGGGTATCCAGCATAGACATGCGGCCGCTACTTAAAAAAATTAAGCCAATTTAAATAAAGTGCCAGATTTCCTACTTACATGAAATTTGAGTCTAGCTAACTGTCGCTTATCATGTCATTGGAGTGTTATTTTCTGCCTTTGTTTAACAGGTGACAATACGCAAACTCTGGTTCGACCAGTCAATAAAGGAAGCTGTGGACGAAGCTAGAATACATCATCAGATCACACCGATGCACGTGGAATACGAATTTGGAGTTATTGAAGTAAGATCCTTTGAAAACGCTTAATGCAAACTCACTTGAATAGAGTTACTTTCTTCTGGATTGCTTTTCTCAACATTTTTGTTACTTTCTCAGGACATAGTGAAGGGTCTTCGTGCTAAGGGCCACGGCATGGTCCGGTACCGCAGTCGAGGCTCAATAATCTGTGCGCTCTATAGAAATAGAACAGCCATCTACGCCAATGCGGACTTCAGGAAGGGTGGCGACGTTGCCGGCATGGACTGAACTCCTGTGCCTAACTACACTCTAAGTATTACTATCTTTATGTCATGAAAGGAACTTTCAAATGAATCTGTTAGTAATGTAAGTTTGTAAGAATACGACGCGTTTATGTCAATGTGAGAGCATTTTTCATTTAAACTAGGAAATAATATGAGACTAAAACACAAACCTTCTTCTCTTTATTCTGTTTTTAAAATTGCTGTTAAAATCAATACACAATAAGTTCTAAAATAAAACTCATACAGGACAATGAAACTTTAATCCAACCTCAAGGTAAAATAATAATTTACATAATGTTTGCTAAATACGAAACATGCTCTCATTTATTTTTTATAAAATGTGTGTGACAAGTGCAAAGAAAAAAAACTGTTATTAATTTATTCAATTTTCAGGAGCTTGACCCTCCAATCACAGTCCATAGATTTAATTCTTTAGCTTGTTTTAATTATATATTTTAAATTACTTGATTAGGCTCGAAGTAGAAACGTAATTGGCGATACAATAATAGTGTAGGCACTAGGAAAAAATATTACAAGAAAAAAAATGTGATAAATAAACGATAGTCTAGGTAGGATATGAAATATTGCCGTCTTCCGAAAAAAAAATGTCCTGTTGTCTACGATTTCTAAAATGGCGGCAAATGGAATTCAATAATTTATCACAAAAGCATCTTATATAATATTATCAAATTTTCAAATTATGTAATAAATTGGCTGATTAAGAACAATAATTTTGAAATAAATGGGCTAGATACTTAATGAATATACCTATGAGTGCATTATAACAAACCGAGATGCAGTGTTTTAAAAATACATGTATTTTATTAAGTTCCTAGACATTTTTATTTTATTATTTGATAGACCTAACTTATACCCCCTACAAGCCAAACTCTGGTTTTGTTACTTAATAATGGAATTCATTACATGTACCCACTGTACCCAAATCTTTAGTAACTTTCCACAAGTCAAGATCTATTTGTTCAAATTTAAAAACCAGTGAATGAAACATAGCGCAAATTGATTATCTCTTTCATAAGTGCACAAAACTAGACTAATTTCTGTTATTTATTATAATAATATTCATCTGTTTTTATTTTTATTCCTTACCCATGCATTTATTACAGGCCGTAAAATAAAACAACATTCCTTTCAGAAACATAGCTTTATGTTGACAAATTACCTACCACTATTTTTGTCTTGTTTGTTTCGCATTCAATTATGAATTTGTATTGGAATAGTGTTGTCTGAAATGGGAATGAACTGACTACTTAGATAATAAATGGTCACAAAATAGTAATTGCAGAATAAACTTTTACCTAAGTGTTTCTTGTATTGTTTTATTTTTCCTTGCGTTACCTACCTACTTGTCTTGCTGAAGCTGAAGCGCCGGCTTAGGTAGCCTAGGCCACTTTAAAATGATGCAATATATTATCAACTTACAATTTAACAAAGAATCTGTATGTGAAACAGATTGGAAGACTAACTAACCATGGAGTTTCTTGCTGCTTTCTTGGAACTGGCAAATAGCTTGACTAAGAGGACTGACACTGACACTTTTTATTTATTAGAAATAATAGGACCCGATCGTGCAGCGCGTATGTAACATTCCGCGCACGCCAGACCACCACAGACGGGGTCCTATAGGGCCGATGTTCAACCGAGATTGCGAGCTACCGCTATAAGGTACCGCGGCCTCGGCCTTTAGCAGGAGCAGGAACAGGGGTTTTTAGTCAGTAAGAGTCTGACACTCCCTCACACATCCTGGACGATAGCCACTGGATGATTTGTGTCCGTTACCCAGGCCAGATGTTGTCGACAATGGTCATTTGAATCTTATAGATAATTAGTTGTGGGGCTTCTGTAATTGTTGCGCACATTTTTAAATTTGTTGCGCTTATAGTTTTTTAATTATTTCACAAAAACATTTCCTGCTGGCGTAACGTTACCACAGCCAGACCTTTTTCTTTCTAATGGGAATATTTAAATAAATATTAGCTATAAAATTAGTTGTCTAGATAAAGTAAATGTTGTGCCTTATTTTGTAATTGTTCTTTCTTCGGTTGCGAAGTTATTCGAGATTTTGCTGCGGTAACGTTTTTGGTTTTGCTAGATCTTTGAAATGGTTAAGCGGATTCTTACCATATTTTGTACACGACTTCCGAGGACTTAGTTTAAATTTGTTGTGCAATAACAAAACCAAAATAATGCATATTTTAAAGGTATTTTCATTAAATAGAAAAACACTTCAATTGGCCCCAGCACTCTCAATAAGAAGTCTAAAGACTTACTTTAAACGTAATTTTAAAACTTGTAACTGCCTTCAAATGTATGTGAAGTTTCATTAGTATCCCGTAAGTATTTAACAAGTTATGATGATATTCAGTTCTTCACGAGCACGGTCTTAATGCACGCGGTGTTATTTGGCCATTGGATTGGATATATGAACTGAATGTTATGTCAATGATTAGTTGTTTAGATCATTTGTATATGAGTAAAATTTCAGCTCAATACATTGGATAATTAATGAGATAATACTGTTAAAGTCATTAGGAAGTGAATGGCCGTGGTAAGCCGACCAAGTTTAGGTGGTTACGAAAAAGCGAAAACGCAGAACATTATGGTACCTTTTAAAATATGTAGGATAGTGTTATAAATTTAGTACAGATATGTACAAAAGTTAAAAAAAAACTACATTATTATTCAAGATTTTTTATTGAAAGGTAAAATAATCATTTCAATTGAACTTTTACTCCCTTACTTATAAAAACTTGTGTTGCTTAGCAACCGATTAAACATCACCCGTCTTTGTCATTTCTATTTCAAAATGCAGTTCAAAAATCATGTAAAAGGTTACAAAAGTAACCTTCTGGCAAGACTGAGTGCGATAAGCAAACAATGTATTACCCCTTCACCCCACTCCTCCCGCGTCCTACCGAACGGCATTCTCTAGCGGTGATTTTTGATAATTTTGTGGAACTGGAAGATAATGTTTTCTTTTATATTATTATTATATAGGTATTTAACAGTGTACGCGTCTGTACCAAAATTGTAAGGTGTATTATACTAATCATTTCAAAAGATAGTACAATGTTCTGCGTTTTCGCTTTTTCGTAACCACCTAAACTTGGTCGGCTTACCACGGTCATTCACTTCCTAATGACTTTAATAGTATTATCTCATTAATTATCCAATGTATTGAGCTGAAATTTTACTCATATACAACTGATCTAAACAACTAATCATTGACATAACATTCAGTTCATATATCCAATCCAGTGGCCAAATAACACCGCGTGCATTAAGACCGTGCTCGTGAAGAACTGAATATCATCATAACTTGTTAAATACTTACGGGATACTAATGAAACTTCACATCCATTTGAAGGCAGTTACAAGCTTTAAAATTACGTTTAAAGTAAGTCTTTAGACTTCTTATTGAGAGTGCTGAGGCCAATTGAAGTGTTTTTCTATTTAATGAAAAAACCTTTAAAATATGCATTATTTTGGTATTGTTATTGCACAACAAATTTAAACTAAGTCCTCGGAAGTCGTGTACCAAAAATGATAAGAATCCGCTTAACCATTTCAAAGATCTAGCAAAATCAAAAACGTTACCGCAGCAAAATCTCGAATAACTTCGCAACCGAAGAAAGAATAATTACAAAATAAGGCACAACATTTACTTTATCTAGACAACTAATTTTATAGCTAATATTTATTTAAATATTCCCATTAGAAAGAAAAAGGTCTGGCTGTGGTAACGTTACGCCAGCAGGAAATGTTTTTGTGAAATAATTAAAAAACTATAAGCGCACCAAATTTAAAAATGTGCGCAACAATTACAGAAGCCTCACAACTAATTATCTATAAGATTCAAATGACCATTTTCGACAACATCTGGCCTGGGTAACGGACACGGATGATTTTCCCCTCCCAAAAAAAAGGCGTAGATATATTGCATGTCATATGCATGTAAGGGTCGAATTGAAATAAATGATTATGTCTTTGTTAATATAAGTGCAGCTATAGCTTGGTTACCAGCTTTATAGCATCGTAAAAGTGATTTTGGACTCTGATGGCCTAGTGATAGGAAGTTCAATGGTGTTTCACACTTTGACCCCATGCCTCAGGAAGCACGTAGTCATTGGTCGAGCGTCCTCTTTCCCGATGTCTTGGACTGTCCTATAGAATAAAGAGTGAAGAAAGAGTCCAAAATTGTGAGCACACGCCTGTACACTTAGATTTTTCTTATGTAATCTGCTAGTCTTGTTAGACAGACTAGCCACCATTATCGAAAGGTAAATTTAGGTCAAGAAAACGAGAAATTCAATAATAATTGTATCGTGTAATTGCATTGTAATTGCATTGCTCTAAGCTTACATTTACATTAATATCATTATATATTATTGTTATAAATTTATACAGCAGACAACAGAACAATAAATAAAAATCAATAACAACAAATAGCAAAAAACTTTAGCACCTAAACGCCTTATTCAAACTCAACTGAAAATTCAAAAATTATACAAAAAAAAAACAGTAAATTGCATTGCTACATTCTAGTTTCGTTCTTTATAAAGTACATTATCAATGTTTCTATATATTATTTCTTTTATTTTTAAATAATTCTTACGCCTTTAATTCCATGAAGGTAAGTCCCGTCTGGTGTACCTACTCTTCAAAACCTAATTGCTTTTGACAACAACATTTCTATTGTTTATTGTGTAACCTTTATAGTAACAATAGTCCAGTTTTTTTTAATATTCAACTTGTGTGGTTCACAATGTCACGATGTACCGGATGAATTTGAATATATATAATAAATGCAATTTGTATGAACTGCCACTAACGTTTATCGGGAACTTCTACAAAGGCTTTGAAACAGGAAGTATATTGTAACATTAATACTAATTTAAGAAACAAATAATTTTACACATCGATTTTTGAATATTATTGTATATTATAAATGTTGTATTATAATAGTATCATGGAATAAAGTATCAATTACATGGAATAATTCATTATTTTAATGGAATATGTTGATAGTAACAATTATTTATAACTAATTTATATTAATTGTCGAATTGGACTTTCTAAATTATATACAAATATTAATTATATGTCATACATACTTGCAGACAACATAAGAAAATTTCTCATTTTACCCATTGTATACCAGTTTTTTTATTGTATATGAACACTCATCAACACGGTTCTTGGCTAAAGTAGGAATAATTTGGTTTGTTGATTATTTTAAATGTTATTAAACTTTTGAGACGTGATGGTATTTTGACACTAAAACGCTAAACATTCCTCATTATAAAATTTATTAAAGGCTAAGATTTTTAAAGTGCGCTTCCATTAATAGTTCATCAAAAGTCGAGGTGTCGTTAACCTGAATGAGACCAGCACACTTCAAATAAATGAATGTGATGGACTTCGCTCAGGTTTAGGCTTCTGCTATAACGGTAGTATATCCCTCATGGCTTCAACAGGAGTCACCAACTTCGTAGCGCCAATCAGAACCGTATTATCAATACCACTAGTAATCACACTCCGATGCAAACGCTTACATTCCTCGGCCGTAATCCCGCCGATCACAAAAATAATTATGGTTGGGTTATCCAGAGGATGTCTCGTCTTGACCTTTCTATTTGTTAGCATTCTGTAAAAATACAATAAAGTAAATTGGACATAAAATAAACGTTTATTACTCGTCACTAGATGGCGCTTTTAGAAACAAATCTGCTACTGGCCGCTAGATGGCGTTGTTCTTAAAATACACGCAATGCAAAACATCTTACCCAAGTCCACTCCGCAGCAATGTCTTTAATTTGTCACTTCTGTACTGGTCCAGATCAACCAGATCAGGTCTATCTGTGTCGACCATATCGTCCACCAACTGCTGCAGAGCACTGCGATACTCATGACCCACACCTGTCTCGCATGGCTTCAATATGGAGTTATATCTGGAAAAATCGAATTCAGAATATAAAAATAACTCAAACAAGACATTGGATACTACCTATGGATGTTATCTCATTCAAGAAACATGACTTCTTAGGATGTAAAAAGAACTCACTTGTGAAAAACACTTCTCATAGAAGTAATTTTCCTTAACTGCATCAGTATACAACTAGCCCTAGCGTCACAGTCTTCAGGAGACATCAAAACAGTAGTATCTTTGTATAAACTGTTCCGGTCTTCAAACAAAGCGACGCTTAATGTCTTGATCAGCTGAGCTTCATGTTCTGCGGGGAACGGGACCTCTGTGTCCCTCACAGCGTATATGTGCATCAGTAGAACTAGCAAGTTCTCAAGCGGAAGCTCCTTTTCTTTACGATTTTTGATCAAATGACAGATCTGTAAAGAGAAAATACATATTACATCATGCATGCATTTTTTTTATGTAATAGGTCGGCAAACGAGCAGACGTATTACCTGATGGTAAGCAATCAGCGCCGCCCATCTACACCCGCAACAAAGGAGTTACGAGTGCGTTGCCGACCTTTTAGGGATCAGGGATTTGGAGGTTAGGGATTGAGGAGGGATTGGGGGAGGAGACGGATTTGGCCTCCGGTAACCTCACTCACACGGCGAAACGCAACTCTATAGTTAAATCTGTTTTTAAAGTTTATCCCATCAATAGTGGCTAGAGACACAATTGTAAGACAATAGATGCACGAACCAAGGTGTTCCCTTGGGGTTTGATGAATTATTAATACTTTTGTAATATGTTCAATGTAAAAATTTTGTTTTGAACATAACTACAAATAAAAAAGAGGTTCAGCGTTTACGAGTCATCTCGAAAATCGTTATCTTTCGAGAAAATCCAAAATTATGGTAAAGTAATTTTTTTTATATGAACAATAATAAATTCAAATTATACAATAATATATATTTCAATCGAGTTGTCGTTCGGCGTGGAGAATTAAGGGCTGCTACTGATAATAATAATGATGACGATGATGATGAAGTTCAAATTATAATATGATATAGAATGTTTATTGCACTTTATTCAATGTGAATGTGATGTATAGTGCACACCATTTCACAAATTATTTTACCCAATCAAAATAAACGAGAGAGACACTCACTGACATACAATTCATATTTGAAGTTTCAAAACTGATTTTTTTGTAGGATTCATTAAAATTATTCTTTGATTATGACTCTGACTTACACACGGTTTCCGAAAGGCCGATCAATGTTAAAATCAATTTAATAAACAAGAGATTTGACAACTAGTTAGTTCATTTTAACATTGATCGGACTTTCGGAAACCGGGAATTAGTCTGCTTTGTGCACCTGGCCCTTTATGCACTTAAGTACACCAATTTTTTTCTTTATTGGTTAAAGAATGTGAATTTTAACCAAACCTAACCAAATATGTTCAGGTTTCAGGTATACAATTACCTTTTTGGTGAAATAACGTCACCTAATGTAACATAGGATATGATAGTAAAGAACACATTGTACCTGATTAAGGACGCTGGTAGACTCCCGACTGGTGGCAAGGTTCTGGTGTACCTGCTTTTCCAAGCTCATAAGAAGCTCATGCTGAACTCGTTTAGGAGACTTTAGAGTTTGTACTACTGCCAACGATTGTTGCAAAACACCAAGGTGTTTGCTCATCACCTCGTAATTTCCTGCAACATTATATCAAGTTGTTAAACATTACTAAGTTATATGAATACACATCAGCGTTTGTTTTGGCAACTGTTATTTTAGAAGTTTTGCAACATTAACCCGGTTTCTGAAAGGCTTGTCAAGGCTAAAATTAACTAATCTCCTGTTAAATCTCTTGTCAAGTCATCTGATTGGTTGACTGAATTATCAACAACCAATCAGATGACTTGATTAAATTGATTTTAACATTGATCGGCCTTTCGGAATCCGGGTGTTACTCAATTACAAATAGCTTTGTTTTTGAGATCGTGGAGCCGCCAAATAAGCATTTATCGTAAGTCCTATATTATTACAATGGGAGTAGAAGCACTAAAATAATCAAATCAAAGGTACCTATATCAATCTAAGTTATATGCGGAAGACAGGCTTGTAGACATTAGCCTTCATTTAAGTGTGGGATCCCGGATACCATACTTAGATGTTGCTGGTTAACTAAATGTAAGTATTCATTGATCTTGTTATACAAGATACTAGCTTTTGCCCGCGACTTTGTTCGCTCGGAATAGTGTCTTCTTGCAGATTTTTGGCTTAAAAACTATCCTTATCCTTTCTCGAGTTCACACAAAAAGGTTCAGTTGTTTAGGCGTGCATTTGGACAATACTTTGGCTCAGTTTTTCATAACCGTATCCCGATACTGAGTCCAGAGGCAGCCGAGAGAGATGCAACTGACTGTGGTTCCATATCCAAAATAAGTATTAATAAGATTAATGTTGTAGACTTAAGAAAGGCCGTTCGTAGGCTTAAGACCTCGTCCGCGTATGGTCCTGATAACTTGCCTGTATTTTTGATTAAGGACTGTTTAAATAGTTTTGAGTTGCCTCTCCTCTATTTGTACAATCTCTCTCTGCAAAGTTGTGTCTATCCTAATAGATGGAAGGTCTCAAAAGTGTCCCCTGTACCCAAAAATGGGTCGTCGATGGAGATCACTACTTTTAGACCTATTGCAGTCTTATCCGTTCTTGCAAAGCTGTTTGAGTCAATAATCAATAATTCTATAACCAACCAGTTGTCGGGTCTTGTTAATGAGAGCCAACACGGTTTCCGACAAGCACGCTCTACACTGACTAATCACATCACATTTGTAGACTACGCTGCTAATAATATGATAGCAGGTGGTCAAGTTGATGCTGCATATTTTGATTTCTCCAAAGCATTTGATTTGGTCGACAATGACATTCTTTTAACTAAGTTTGCATCTCTTGGTTTTTCATCGGAACTTCTAAGATTCATGGCAGATTATCTTAGGAACAGGAAACAATATGTAAAAATAGGCAACTTTTACTCGCAAGAATACTACACAAGGTCGGGTGTAAGTCAGGGCAGTACACTGGGACCAACACAGTTTCTTATCATGATCAATGATTTACCTAATGTACTAACGGACACAGAATGCCTCATGTTTGCCGACGATCTAAAATTGTTTCGATCTATTTCTAATGTCTCGGATTGTGAACATTTGCAGAGGGATATTGATGCTGTTGTTGCATGGAGCGAGACTAATAGATTGGCATTTAATGCATCCAAATGTAAATCAATCACTTTTACTCGATCCAAATCACCTATTTTAGTGTCATACGAATTAGCAGGTTCCCCACTAGAACGCGTTAGTACTATACGGGATTTAGGCGTAATACTGGATTCGAAATTAAATTTTCATGAGCACATAATTAAAATATGTAAAGACGCTAGCAAAGCTTTAGGTTTCGTAGTCAGAATGTCCTCAAGTTTTAATAACCTTAAAACCATGAAACTTCTATACAACGCATATGTCCGCAGTAAGCTCGAGTATAATTCAATTGTATGGGATCCACAAGAAAAGTTATATAGCGTCATGATCGAAAAAGTGCAACGTAAGTTTGCACGTTTCATATACAAACGCGAGTACGGATATTATCCATTTTTATACCCTTCAATATTTGTCAGTGGTATGGTGGGCTTAGACACGTTGGAACTCAGGAGGAAACATGTACATATGTTGCATTATTACTATTTATTAATTGGTAGAATAGATAATCCATCTGTACGTGAGACCATTCATTTTTATGTTCCCGATAGATATTTACGTGGTTCTGGTAGGAGGCGTCACCGGTTACTTGCTTCTTCACCGAGTTGGCGCTCCCCTCACGGTGGTAACTGTCCTACAGGTCGGGCGGTTCCTATGTTGAATGATTTCCTACAGCGCAACCTAGATGCAGACTTATTTTTTGATGGTGTCAATATTATGTCAAGACACATTTTAAGATATTTAAATAATTTTAATTAATGTTATTCTTCTTTTAATTATAATAATTTTGTCAAATTAATTTTATTTTTTCTATGTAAATTTTATTATGATATTTAGTATAACATGGTAAATTTGTATAACTGTGATAATTGCAAAATATAATCTCATTGATGCACGTAATTTAATGTAAAGTAGATATACTAGATTTTCATAAATGTTTGTAATTTAATTTAAGATAACATTTAGACGACTTGGTCTCGTACTGTAAGTCTATTTTGTTAAAGTTATAAATAAATAAATAAATAAATAAATTGCAACAAAAGACAGACAGACAGCTACTTTCGCCTTTATAATATTATTTTGGATTACAGAGTAGCGAAACAGGCCTTACACGAACGTCTCCTAAGCTATACTTACTTATGAATAACAAACAGCGCAGGATTTTATGAATTATTGGTTTATATAAAAAGTGTGTGTGTTGTGTTATAATGATAGAAATTCTATGAAACAGGTCCTAACCATCAAACTGTATCTGAATAACACATAGAAACTTTATTTAAAAAAAAAAATACTTAGTCTATGTGTTACTCGAAACTTTATATCTATCTGTATGCTAATTTTCATTTATATCAGTTTAGTAATTTTCCTGTATAAGAGTAACAAACATTCATCCGTCTACATCTACTGGCATGTTTTCAAATGTAAGTAATAATGTGCCTGTAAGGGTCTAATTGGAATAAATGATTTTTGACTTTGACTTTTGACTTAATAATATCTTTTCATTTGAAGTCCTTAGCCCTACGCTAGAATTTTCTCCTGTATCGTGGATGCGTTTACAGACATACAATTTTAGTACAGTTTTTCTTTCACACAGTGCCGGCGTAAGGGCCCCTGACACCCCGAGCGAAAATATCAAATGTTACATTTTTATCTGATCCCAAGTAAAATAAAAAATTGCATATGCACAGAGCGTAGAGCACAGTTCTGAGGGTGTTTGCACTAGGAGAGGCAAGAGACTTCAACTTCAGACCTTGGGGCCCCCCAGAATTTGTCGCCCTGGGCCATCGCCCCATCACGCTCCCCCCCCCCCTCCCCCCCCATCGTCGGCACTGATTTCACACTTATTAAACCTAGACCGGGAATAATTCGTGGAGATAGTAGGATCATGTATAATTTACCTTTAGTAGCAGTAACAATTTTCTCAACACTTTGCGGCGTGACTTTCAACAGTGACTTGGGACTTGGTGATTTCTGAATGTCTATTTTGGACAGCTTGTTGTAAAGATCGAACATGACTTCTTTTTGAGACTTGTTTATCATATACTCGAATGTTTGTATGCAGGATTCGTCTTCCGAATGGTAGAGACAACCTGGGCTGAGTTGTACGTCATCTGGGTGATTTATTCTGGAAATATAGATTTGCGTTTATTAAGAACTACAGTTATGTACCGCGGCCTTGGTCTAGTTTCCTCTCGGCGGGGAAGGAACGGGGTAGTTTTAATAAGTAAGAGTCTGACACTCCCTCTTCCACAACTTTGGTGTATTTCCTCCCTCAAAAAAGGTAGCTTTTGATTCTATATAAGTAATTATGCAAATTTCCGTGCTGACAGTTACTTTATCTGAGGGGGGGAAGGGGACTCATTTTTAGTTGAATAGGTGTTTTTTATAATGCACTAGCTTCTGTTGCGCGGTTTCACTCGCTGCTCGGCTCCTACAAATCGTAGCGTAATGTTTTATTGCCTAAAGCCTTCCTCGATAAATGTACTAACAAACACAAGAATTATTCAATTTGAACCAGTAGTTCTGCAGATTTGCGCGTTCTAACAGACTAACTCTCCAGCTTTGTAATATTAGTATAGACATTAACTTACACATTAGCCTGGCAAAGAGGTGACATATCGACAGCGACGTCAGTGCAATGACCTGGAAACCTGGGCAGCACTGACATTATCTTATCCAGTACTGACTCAGTTCCATGACTCGTAACACTACAGAGGTCCATCGTACGGTCTATAAGAATCAGCGACGCGGGATGCAGGCAATTCTGAAAGAAAATTATACATATAATTATAAGCATTTAATTCTCACCAAACAATATTTCTAAGCGATTGCGAAATTTTCGCACTCCTCTTTTCCATTTAGATTAATAATGGGTTGGTAAGATGGTAAGCTCTTTCCAAGCAGTAGGGTCATCACTAAACACGAACCCATTACTTTCGTCTTTATTATTTTTACGTAAATAGTTCACTATAATTATTTTAGTGTGGTGGCTGATATCTATACAAATCTATGATAATTAATGAAAAAAGTTAACGAACCTTCCGCCGTTGTATAGATATAGGGTAGTGCTCCAAAATCCCTCCAATGATTGCAGAATAAGCGCCAATGTAATAGACATCTTCTTTTAAATTCATTGAATCCAACATGTTATTCAAGCTGGCAGCAAACCTCCTTGCTTCGTTTCTCTCTTGTTTAGACAAATTATTGATGTCAACTATTGTGTTGTCAGATTTCAACTCGCCAAGGAAAAATGTTTGCAAGTCACGGAAGGGAGGAGTGACAAACACAACATTAGTTAGGGAGATCGTGAAAATTGGTATATGTACCACTTCTACATAACTTTGCTGTAAGAGAAATTATTCGATTAGAATGGACTATGCAACTTCATGTCATATTTTATTCATGTCTAATACTTATATATAGTTGATTATTGTTATTTTTCATTAATTCTATTTTAATTCTTATTTAATAGGAGAAGTTAATTTTACTATATTCTCACAATGTTTCTGCTATCATGTTTATATACAAGCTTTCTTATGAATAGACTGACGCAATTTTGAGTGATCAGCTGCAAGATAAAATTAATTTATTATTTTCTATGATATGTAATAATTATGCCTCAACTTGTGATGACAGAATGTGTTCAAAATTTAAGCCTTGTAAGTTATGATTCTAGAAAATTCTTTTATGTGTATCCATAGTTTATCAATGCCTCACCCAAAGATTTAACTGGTAAAGAGTGCCCATGGCATTAAGTCTATCTTATATATATACAAAATATATTTTTTTTTTTATGGAATAGGTGGCAAACGAGCAGACGGATTTTACCGAGCATGCAGAATATACTTATATGAAAAAAAATTGTAACATATATTTTATAATATTACCTTCTTTGCCATCCATTGAATAAGTTTCATTTCAAGATACTTCATGCCCTCTAGGACTGGCTCACCCATGGCTAATACAGTATTAATATCCTTATCATCATGGATTTCTAGAAACACCATATCTAAGCTCATGCATGATATAAGAATACAGTGTGTAAAGTCGCTGTGGCGGACAATTTCAGCAATTGTTTGCAACTGTACATTGGTAGTTTGTGTTATGAACACTGCCTTCTTCTGTTCTTTCTTGGCGAACTGTAACAAGAGACGAATTAAGTGGAACTGTATGAACAATGGAGGTGGAAAATTGATTTATATGTGTATTGTGCAAGTGTGGTGCTTGATGCTAACAGTGTTTGATAATCAGCGTCTTTGTCAGTTAAATTAGACATTGTATGCACGTATTTTAAATAATCTAAGGGACTAAATGAGTAAAGAAAAGGTAAAATATTTGCACAATTGGAAATTTCCAATTGTGCAAATATTTCGTTTTCGTTCTCGTACCTCAAATGGAGATAAACCCTTAACAGCAACTGCTCCTGCAGACAGTAAGGTGTCCACGCCGCCCTCATAGTGCAAGCACTCCGCACTAGCATCATCAATAAACACTACAGCACCAATTATTCTGTTATATATTTCCGACCACCAGGCTTTGCCGAATTCCCTCACTGAAGCTGTCGCCATATTAGACGTCAGACAAAAATAACCCGTAATATCTATACCATCTTTTATAATTTTATAATATGCCAATTATTTAGAAGTAAAGGAAAATTGCAAATTTGCAATTTATTTACGTACACATCACCCACCACCACCGACAACGTTACTACGAAATGTCACTGTCAATATTTATTGATCCATTTTTTGACATTGACAAAGTTACTAGTTGTCAAACCTAAGTATTGATGATTTAAGCCAATAAGCCTTTTATTTTTTTAAACTTAAAGTTGTTACTTTGGATGTGTTTCTTCCCCTGAGGACAACAATATGATTAAATCTATTTATTTAATGTACACATTTGATACCAGTCCATATAGAGCCCAGGACATGGATTTACACACATTGCACATGATGATACATGGTGATAATGACCATTAACCACAGTTCATGGGAATATATTATAACCATATATGTATATCACCGCCACCAAGATGCTAATGGAAACAGTGATTAGCATAGATTATACACTTATTTAATTTCATGAATAAATTAATAAACGTCTAAGTACATACTTGTAACTTACTTTTCATACACTTATGAGAAAGTAAAATCAACAAATAACCTCTCGCCCAGGGCGGGGCAGAAGTGTCAGATTCTTACTAAAACAAACAAACTTGCGGGGTAAGCGCAATGAGGCCCCTCGGCCCGGAACAATAGAAGGAACGGGTTTTAGTAAGAATCAAGATAGAGAGAGACATTTTATGATTTTCCCAAAACAAAAAAAAACAGGTAAATAAATACAAATTTCAATCACATTTTGAAGTTACTTTAATTACTTATCACAATACAGAATAATTTGTAAGCTAACAGTTTTGCATGATTGCACTAATATTTTATAGTAAACCAAAATTAGTGCTCATAGCCGCTGGGGAGAGCATTGACATGGGGGTTGTGGAAGAGAGACTTCTGGCCATCACCCCAGGGGAAACGCTGAAATGAGAAAAAAACTGATTAAATTACATTCTCCCTTAATTCCCTTTTTTGATAAACATTAACAATTAAGTGAAATTAAAAGTCTTCACATTTTTGGAACATTATTCCATAATGATGGTCTTAACATTAACAAAAATAATACAAAATCCTAACTGTGTCTAAAATAATTATGTTAAGAATTAAATGAAGGTGCTGAGCAATAATACCTTGGAACGAATGCGCAGGAAGTCATAGGGTTTGAACTCAGGGCGCTCTGCGTGAGCATGTTCCTGGTGGGCCAGGTAGGCGTTGAGCATACCAAGACCAACAGCGGGGAATGCTACGAAGAAAGTCATCTTCTTCCACAGCTTGAAGCCACCTATTAAAAGCAAACAGGTAAAGGTATTAGTAAATGTACTAAGAAATTCTATAATAATTTTCATGTAGTAGGTGCAACATAGTTATGTTTATTGGGATTTAATATGAAGATGATGGTATAAGACCTAAAAAGGCATATATAGCTATGAGGATATGAACATAAATATCTCCTAGCCCATAACTGTCTGGGATAGATAGTAGGATAGCACAAAAACTGTCTCCTTCAATTTTGTGCTACCCAACATAGTGATTCATATTTCATAAAAATGCTTGCTTGTCTAGTACAAACAAGCATTTTTATGAATCACTACACAATAAATCAATCTGTATTACTTTTCCTGGGTTATAAACAAAAGATAAAAGTGTAGAAGTGATATTTTAAGATCAAATTGTACATTCTGTTGTAGCAATAATTTTAGTTGCCTACAGTAAGAATGACTTAACAAGTTTTGCTTTGGTACATGGACACAATGTGGTAACTATTTCCTATGTAAAGATGGACACAGCTTTCATGATTTTTAACATCTTTACTAATTCCTAGCTGGCAGAATGTGTTATATCATGGAATAAAAAAACCAGGGCAAAACTTGGCACATTTACTTTGGATGGATTGAATATATTTCCCTCCATCCAGAGTAGTCCTCCCCTTTGATTTTTACAACATTATATTTATCTATGCACATAGAGAAACTCAACAGAAGCACAATTTGATGGATTAGTTAGCTGCCATCAATAAATAGTTTGAAATTAAAAACCAAAACCACAAATTTTTGAAGAAGCTAAACAACATTCCGCAGTATGAAACAGTTTCATTGATATGAAGTAGCATTGGTCTAGAAGAGTATTGATTTATTAGGTTTGTAGTAAACAATAGGAAAATATAGGAGTAGAAAATATGATACTAAGCCATGCCAGAATTGTTGTGGTAAACGTTACAAAAAAAAAATTGATTTAACATAGGTGAGTGAAATAGGACAAGATAATCTGTTAAAACGCAGGTGAACAAGAGATAAGGCCCTTTAGGTTATCTGATTACATAATTTTCTGTTTTCCAAAATGTGTCTCACCTCCATGGCCTCCAGCAGTAGCAGCGTGGGTGGAGGAACGAGCGTTCGTCTTCAGGTACTCGATGGCAGCCTTCCTCAATAGGGTATTCATTTTGCTAGGAATTCTAATTCTGAACAATCGAAAAGCAGCAGCAACTTGTCAAAATGTCAAATGTATTTTTTTATCGAAACTGTCAATTTGACTACTGGAGAATGTTGCCACGCTAACAAAAAATCAATAAAACAATTATGTTACATGGCAATAAAATTATTAAATAGAGATGCTCTCGTTTAGTATGTATAGCATGTGATAAAAAAAACTATCTTCCTGTTATTTTAATATTGACGGTGCAAATATTATAATTTCAATTTTTATGATTTATTTATGTGTTTTTTAGTAAGTAATTTGTATATTAATTTATTTATTTCAACTTAATGTAATAATCTGTTGTGTACGATTGGACTTATTACCTGAGGCATTCTTCTTCCAATCGCCGTTTTGGTAATTCAGAGCCCGATAATAATTAATTAGGCATAGTCAAGCTTTACATTATTTTCTTTAACAGTTTAAGATAATTTTTAGAATAGACCTTACCAACTTCTATCAAAATAAAAATAAATTCTACGAGCGGCTTCGCCAACTTACCAGGACAAAACAAAGCTATGTGTTATTCCAGACTGTATTTTATCACAGGTTCGAGTTTCATCCACATGCATTCAATAATTTTACCTGATCCATTAATAAACATTCATTCACATAAACTTACTCGTTAGTATTTAATTTAGTATATATAAAAGGATAGAATAGGATTGTCAAATAAAAGTATCACACTTGTATTTGAATGCAATTTAATTTCTTAAGCTAAAATAAAACGTATCTAAGACGATCATACATGCACTGGACTTTGAGATTACTTACTTAGGCTACTTACAAAACTGCTTCCTGGTTTTCAGATCTTAATTGAGATTCTGATTAAAGTGTTAAAATGTTTCCATAGGACACCGATATTCAAATTTTCCGAGAAACAATCAAATCATTCATCAAATACTTAGTTCTTCTAACGTACCTACCACTAATACCTATCTTCGTTTTAATATATAGGTAGGTACTTAGGTTAAATCTATTACCCGTTACCATTACCAAATACAACCTACAACTATATAATATTATCTTACTAAATCTAATGGAATGCCAAGTTATGAAAAAATGTTTTTTTATGGATTCATTTTGTTTCTGGGTGGCTAAATCTAGTACCTACTTGTTAGGTAGGTACATTTATTAAGTTAGAAAAATTATTTGCCTACCTCAAAGCAAATTACCTACACAGGTACTAAGTATATAATCTGAAAATATAAGATGTACTTAAGTACCTAACTACTTACTACATGGCACCTGTATTGCTTGTTCTTTGGCGACTAACTTACGCCAAAATTGGGCCTTAGCTCAAGTGCACGACCCTTTGTATATGAAAATTAGCTTAGGTAGTTGATAGATATTTAATTGTTATCAGCTGCCATATTGGTTTTGTTTTACCCACAGAACAGTTTCTATTCCGTGGTTTTACCTATCCACAAATAATGTCAATTAGAAAATACATCGTAAGAAAATGCATCCATATCCTAAACCGAGATTGAATTATTTTGGTCATACAGAATGTAAATGGATGTTGATAATAATATTTAGCTAAATTAAAGTTGGTTGATCAAATGCCGGAAACATTTTTTGGTTCACCATTCGAATATTCATCGGAGATTCTGAAGAACCACCAGGAAAATGGCGCTCCAAAATGGATCTTGGTGAAATCTGCAAATTAAATAAATGGAAATCGATATAGTTACTTACTTTTTTATGTATTCAAGAAACGCGTCTTGTATTAAAATATCTAGCGAAGCAAAAATACCTTTTTCGTTTTTACTTGCTCAAAGTTATACTTCATGTAAAAGGCGGACTGTTGCAGCTGCCTCAAGTTTCTGATACGGACCCTAGGATCTCGTTCTAATAAACGCATTAGTAACCCTCGAGCTGCATTGGACAAACAGCTTGCACTCTCTGGCAGAGTCCCTGCGACTGGCTGAATGGATTGTTGTCGATGATCTGGAGAACTAAAAAAAAGTTGTTTGAATTTACGCGCTCATTTAAATTCCGAAATGATCTATGGTGATTGAATTAATTAAATATTATTATGTACAATAAATGTTTTTGTTACATTACTTGAAATATAGATATCTACAATAAAAAGAAATCTAATCTACATATAAGAAGAGTCATATACTGTTGTCAACCCTATCTACGTGTCGTAAACCACAAGGAATTATTATAATATAGTGTAATAGGTGAGCCAAATCTAACTTTACTTAAATATATATAGAGTTTTAATTACCTATTTTGATACGAAGATGATGAAGCCCCATTTTGACTCCTGTCATCATTTTTCATAAGTCCATCACTGTCAGTCGTTGCTCTTTTGCCAATCGCAGGCGCTGGATACTGAAATAGAAAAAGTTAATTGAACTTTTAAATGCCTATTTTTTATGGTATTTGACTGCACGGCTGGCGTAGTGGCTGGGCAACTGGCTGCTGTGCAACTTGTCGCGGGTTCTATTCCCGCACGGAACAACACTTTGAATGGTCCACAAATTGTTGTTTCGGGTCTGGGTGTGTTGTGTATGTGAATTCGTATGTTTGTAAACGCACCCACGACACAGGTGAAAATCCTAGTGTGGGGCAACGTTTTTTTTAAAAAAAAATGTGTATGTACTTGTATAAGTATGTTTT